GATGTTTAAAAGAAGATTTTGTAGACCCGTCAAAATAATTATACAGCTTGCGAAGAAGCTACGGAGTCTAGGAATAAATTGTAGGGAATCTAGAAAAAGCTATAAGCTCCAGAAGTGATTCTAGAGTCAGTGAAAAATAATAATTTCATTTATTATAATAAATGAAAAAAATTGTAATCTTTGAAAAATATATATAGATGCCACAGATATAATCGTAGGGGTTGTAAAATAATTGCCCGACCAATGAACCAATTACGAAGCTAGTGATAAAAATTGTATGATGTAAAAGAAAAAACCGAGAAGCTTCTAAAAAAATAGTACGGTCGAAGTAAGAATTGTAGAGATCGTAAAAAAATTGTTGCAGGTTCTATGAAAAAGTTGTAGAGCCTGCGAAGAAACTGTTTGATGCATGGGAATGGGTTGAAGTCCAAGGTTGCCAGGATCGATGCAACAGTGCGTAGGGCCAACGAGGGTCGTGATGCTGTCCTGGATCAAGGACTATGCGACTGTGTGCATGCGACCGGTTGCAATTTCACGCGTGGTAAACTGCACAAGGATAGAAGGAGGCGGAAGGAGGACTGATCGTTTCCGCAGTTCTTTTCTACCTTTTTCTCCACGATCGAACACCGAAGCTGAAATAACACACTGACTTCCATTTTCTTTTCTATTTTCTGCGTGGAACGACAACGTCTAAATATTTAATCTTGTCGATCGATTCGACAAGAAAGCAAACGTTCATTCTAAACAGATCTGCTGCTTGTATACGCTTTGGTAACTGTCGCCTTGGTTGCGACACTTTATCAACACCTGTGCAACCAAAATATGCTAACCCGTAATCTGAACACACAAACCAACTTCGAAGCTTCAGATCTTAAATGCAATTTACAAATTTTGGAATTGGAATGGGAACTGAAATTGGATAAAAAAGATGCAGACTTTAAATCGGCGCTGTATGCAAAATTGCTGAAATGCAATTTACAAATTTTGGAATTGGAATGAGAACTGAAATTGGATAAAAAGATACAGACTTTGAATCGGCGCTGTATGTAAAATTGCTAAAATGCAATTTACAAACTTTGAAATTGGAATGAGAACTGAAATTGGATAAAAATGATGCAGACTTTAAATCGGCGCTGTATGTAAAATTACTGAAAAGGAATATATTTTTACAAGAACTTGAAAATATTGTTGGAGAAAATATAGAAACGCGTACTGGCGCACCTGGTCGCCCACGCAGGTGTTAAATATAACGCGCTTCCTCTCTGGAATATTAAAAAAGCGTGTGAGCAAGAGAAGTCATTTTTAGTGGCAATTAATTTAAAATAGCACAGCGTGTAAAATTAATTCGACTACTTCGCACGGTGCTGATGATCAACGCGTTAGCGGAATAAAAACGGTTATTAATAAAACAAATAAAAGCCGTTTTTAGCAGCCGCGAGGACAGGTTTGTTCTTTTTTTCGTACATTAACCTTGATGCAAAAAATACAGATACAACGATTACCTGGACGGTGTACGGAGAACCAGACGGAAACGACATTGAAAATGGACACTCAACGAAGATACAAACAAAAGACAATTTTGAAAGAATGTTGACACTGGAACAACCGAGCACTGAAAATTACAAAATCGTATTGCCCTTTGCAAAGGACAATTTATGTATTTCGAAATACGTTAACTATCCAGCGAAGCATTTTTGCAATCTCGGTAATTATAGAATAAGGATTTCGGAATCCGCAATTTAGCGAGACTTAATCGTGCCAGTGTCAGTCCACGCACAAACAAGGCGATTCGTCCAGGAGAAACGGAACCAAGATCGCGAATTGCGCAGTTCGAACTGTTAGAATAAATTCGCTTGGAATACCCGGACAAGGTTACCTCGAAACGCTGAAAGGAGTCGATATAGTGCACGTTGTTAGCCCCACACTCCTCCTACATGTCGTATCTTTGCCTGAAAATTGTTCGAAGTTTGATATCCGCTTTCAAGAACCGTCGAAGTCGCCACGATCACGCGCGAAAGATCGAGAAAACATATCGATCACAGTCCGGAGAATATTTTTATGTTCGATCCTTCGTGCGGAAAAGGGATGGGATGCAAACACCGGGTAAAATTAGCCGATCCGCGATGGAATTTTTCGCAAAAATAGACCCGATGCTATCACAGCACGATGGGAATAGCGTTTCAGCCTCGAACTTGCGATCACGAAACGATCTGCTTCCTGGTGGAAACGAGCATTCGAAGGAGAGAATCAAGATTCTGCAAACACAGGGAACTCGTTCTGTAAATTCCTATTTTTCGATTGGAAACATAAATAACGCTTTGAACTCGGTTAACAAGACTTTCACCGATACGATGGTGCGAAAACTTATTTAAATAGAATATCTATTTGCAACGTTACATCGTTTTACATCTCATTTGATGGGTAATATGAGAAAATTCTCTTAGGGTTAATTCGCGCCGTTGAAATGAGTATTCCTGGAAACTGTGTCAAATTGATGCGAAACTCCAAATGTGCAAATTTGCAAGATACTCTGAATTGTGCTGAGCACAGAAGTGAAATAAAAATCTATTTTTTCTTTCAATGACATTGATAAATTAACCCCTTAAGTCGAAATAACGAGCTCCCGCCCACAAACATTTTCTGTGCCAAATTCGAACAGGATGGGCGATGCTCGCCATATATTTAAATGTTTAAAAGCCATATAAATTTCTTTCAACTGTTAAAAAAGAAAGTATCAGGATATTTACACATTCTCTTGCCTCTTTTTCTACCTAAAATCGAATCGTTATAGCTATAATGTTAGAAAATAGACAATATTAAAAAGGAATTTAAATTGTTCGTAAATTTTGTTCACAATAATATCAATTATATTAAGAATTCTTTTCTCTTTAACTTCATTGCAGCTTAAAAGTGATATTTGTCAATGTTTATTTAATACTAGAGCATAGCTTTATTAATCTGTCGTATGAAATAAGAACAGAAATGTTTTAGTTTTTTTTTTTGCGGCGATTCGTCTCACAGGGTTGTGCTAAATTAAATTGTCTGCACAGGTACGTTTCTTTGAAAATAAATCGTAAGCCAAACGATTAAAGAGAGAATGCGAGAACATTCTTAAATTCTTCTAATGCCATCACTGATTGGTATTTCAATCCAATAATTTTTATCACGAGAACGCAAGAAATTCGCAGTCTGCTCTTAAGAATCCTCGCAGGAATTTCCAGTCTCATCGATCACTCCGTAAAAATCAGCTTTGTAATGAAAACATTAGATCTCCCTCAGCTGCTCGAGTGAAGTAGACGCATAAATTATCGTCGTCCCTAAGGAAACGATTAACCCCGACTTCTAATCATCTACGAAAGCAGATCTTAAGGCTTAATAGGAGTAGAACGATCGTTGAATATTCATCGGCGAAGAGACGCATAATATTTTGCCGATCGGAAAAATTCTCGTTAGCTCGTTTCATTACGTGACAAGCGTGTAATAAATCGAACGGACGTCGCGATTCGCGATCGATCGTCGCGGAACACATTGTTTTCGTTCGCTTCGGAGAATGTCGCGAAACTCCGTGCGCTTATAGCGCAATAATCCCCCGGGGAGCAATAAAACAGAGCGAACAAAGTTTCACGGGAGTTTTCCAATGCTTTCGAGCAGCTTCTCGTTTCAACAAGGTAGCGTCTTATTGAATTACGGTCTTGTCGGGTTTATTTCTGGACGCGAGAAATTTGCATAAACATCCGCGTACATCCGTAACTATGCGATATCTGCCGGGAATCGTGGATCGCGAAAATCATGACACGCGATCCGACCGTATCGTTTAGGGTTACGAACGTTTCGATCGACGACGCCGCGACAATACGCGGTACCAAAGCGATAACGATTAAAACTGCTGCACGCTTCCGTTGCTGGTGTTGATTGCCGACAATCGACGCGACCGAATTACGGTTAATCGTATCCGGGCCACGTTTCTCTGTCGGAATTCTTGCGTCATCGCTCCGCCGATCTTTCCGACGTGGGACTGTTGTCTAAATATTTTTTTTTCTTTTTTGCAATCAAACGTAAGTTTACCGATCACTGAAAATGACTGACCTGTGTCGCTTTAGGAGAACGACAATTATTTATTTGCACATTCCGCTATTTCGACTATAATCTAGATTTTAAAAACTTCTTCGATCATTTTCTAGTTAAAAGACTCTACAACTTAAACAATTTTTAAAAAAATTAGTAAAAAGGCTGTACTTGGGAACGCATGCTGAAACATAATTCCGTAGTGCGCCTTGTTTTAGAAAACTCGTAGTGTTCTTGTAAATTGTTCTGCAATTTTTGCGATTCTTACGAAAGCATCATCGCAGAGGTTAAAACAATGATAATGAATTAAGGCAACGTGCTGATCAACGTCATATCTGACATTAGATGAAGTCATACTTACGTAGCGTAGTAATCGATTAGTCCGTAACTTTTGTTAAACTATTGTAATATTGTGGACACAAGATACGTTGAAACATTTTGTCATTAAAGATAGATAAAAATCATAATATTGTACTCATTTACATTTTTACGTAGTTCGATGATCGGTCATGTTTCCGAGTGAATTCATTAACTTCCCATGAAAAACATCGATAAGGAAAGATTCCCTGACTTCGTGAAACAATAAAAAAAAAAAAGATAATGGCACTCTACTCTGCTGGTAGAGCAAAAACGCGTTCCCGTGTCTCACGGACTCCTTGAAAGGAGAAAAAATCCGTAATGGGTTGTTTCGGCAAGTTCGTTATTAAGTATAATTAGACCTCGTGTTTCGCTGGCTGTGCAAAAAGGTTGAAACTACGAATCTTCATAAAATGAACAGGATGAAATGTGACGTACGAAGCGATCAGTTTGTTTCAGTACGAAGTCAAATTGGTTGTTCGCGTCTTATATCGATCGCTCGATGTATTCGGGACGCATGAGGGACCGCGTGAGGTCCAATTATTGTTATTTACCTTGTTCCTATTACCGAGGAAACGTATTGCTATGCGACAGGGATCGGATGACGGTGCTCCTTGAACGACGAACGACAAGTAAGTGTGAGTAATTGCGAGAGGAAGTGCCGACAGAGAAAGACACCGTTTTTCAAGTACGTCCGCCACTGTTGAATAATTTGAACAAGGTCGACGATTGTGTCGGACCTGATCGACGGAGGACCCACGATATATTATACATCATCGATGGGTTTCCTGCGTAGATCCGGCGGCCGAACGTGCTAATACGGAAAAAAGAATTCGACGCGCGCGGTGAAAGTTACCTACACAGCTGAAATTCCTACGGCCTTACAATAGTTCTCCAACTTTTTTGTTTCGAAAGTTCGAGCAATGCTCGTTAGGCCGCTAAATACCTGTGTTTAGACTCTGCAGAATTTCCCTTCGGATAGAAAGCAAATAAATACGGAATGAGAAAGAAAATAAACCGGAATAATTGGGAACGAAGATAGTAATGGTTCGAATCGTGTTGCGGCAATTAAAAGTCTGCTTACTTAAGGTACAGTTTAAATAACGATTGTTGACGCCAGTACTGTATACTATAAAACACGCGTGAATAAAGTAAATTAGGTAATGATACCGAAAATGGAAGGCTAAAGTTTAACAAATTGAAGTTTAACAATCGGAAGGATAAAGTAAATGGAGAATTACAAATTGCATGTTTGAATTGGAAATCGAAACGAAGGTTGCTGTTCTCTGGATGAAGCAAAATTTTCGAAAACTTGGAATCGGGTGTGTTAAGAACCTCGAAGACGGAGAAATAAAAATATCTAACAGTATGAGAATCGGATCGTCTGTAACGAATATCGGAGATGAACTTTGTCTATGATCGATGAATCCCGAGAAGAAGATCGAAAAGAAACAAATCACAATATTAAAAAATATTAAAACGTGATCGTATGAATAGAAAATTAGAAGAACACTTGAATTCGGTCTAGGATCTGTGGATCGCCAGAGAAAGAACGAAATTGGAGTAACAAAAATATAAACGTTTAGAAAATTGTAATATTTTGAATTGATGGGGAAGCAGATGTGCTTGGTCTGGGGATCGATGGATCACGGGATCTCTGTAGCTCGCGTGCCTCGCGTGCTTTTGGCCGCCGGTACCTGCTCGCGGGAGGAACCGATTCCGCCCCGAACCGAATCGAATTCGGTGCAAGCGTGTTGAGAGCGTGTGATAGCACGTGCGTGGGTGGTGCCAGCGACCGATCGATTTAGCCTCGGCGAGAGGTAACTGCGCGATTACGGCTCGTTTCATAATTGCTTCGTAACTGTATATTTAACGACACACGATCGCACCGACCGACCGGCACCGAGAGAACAACAACGTACCCTTGGAAAACAACTACGTTCTCCAACGAGCCCCTAATGCATTCGATAATTTATATGATAGGGGAAACGCTCGAGGAAAAGAAAATTCCGGTGTCCGAGGTCGCGGAAACGCTCCTTGCCCCGGGAGCGTTTAGGGTTGCCTTCCGGGGCAACTGTTCGAACGACGTCAAGCGAACAAATAGATTCCACGGATTCAAATATTAAAGGCAGGCCGATGCTATCAACTGTCTGAGTGAAATAGGTGCGGGGAATGTCAACAGTATCGCTGGATCCATCTCCTGGAATGATGCTTGTTGTAACTTATTAATTAAACTGTGGATCTTCACGCGAAGTTCCACTTTCATAAGCTGCTTTATACAAAATTGCTTTCGTCTATCGGAAGATCGATAGGCCTTGACCATAGATGTTTCAGCTTATTAGTTGATCGGAGTAATTATTGAATGCCGTTCAGCTCTTCAAATTATGATAAAAGCATGAAGAATGTTGAAGACCGTGAGTGAATCTAATGTCTGAGGAAAATACTATTGATTTTATAAATCAAATTGTCTTGTTAGGTCATGCTAATTTTTTGGTCGGAGCCTATCTACGTGTAAAGAACATTATGCATGTATATCAGCTCGGAAATCGGATCAATCTGGCGAACAAGATTCTCGCTGAGCTATTACTCAAATTGAATTATGCTACCATGAACATGACATCGTGTGCGATTTTTTGGTGTTTCTTTGCATTACGTAAACACCGATATAAAAAGACCTGCTAAAATCCTAGACTATTCACGCGTGTCTTTGAGGATGAAAGTCACCTCAAGCTGCTCCGTCGACGTACTATAATGTCGGGACAGACGCGACAGAACGGAGACGAGAGAATCGATCATCGGCACAGACGGTCTTCCATAGCAACGACGACGGTGCGTCGTTGTATGCAAGCGTATGCTTATTTCTTACATAATAGTTGGCACGGTTTACGCATATTTGCAAGCGGTAAGCGGATTCTATTCGGAGGCTGATTAACTCAGGCGACTATAATGACCGTATCTCAACAACCCCACTGTCTCATCCGTTTATGACATGGATTCCTAAACGCGGTTGCTAAGAGGATCCGGAAAGCGTTAGAATACCAGTTTCTAACTATTCCGCTTCCTCAATCTAAGATCTTGGGATTCTAAAATTGCAAAAGTTATAATTAGAAGTTTCAATGACAGAAATAGGCTACATAAGGGGAATACTGAAGGGAAAAGTACTGAGAATGGAGCCTGTAGGTCGTAAAAGTCTGCGGAAGTACGATCAAATCCTTTAACAGTTTACCTACCGGAAGTTTATTAATAACAATCTCAAAGACTGTACTATACCAAAAGGAAACTTCATCTTCCTTTGAGTAACTATACCGAGAGAAATTAACAGCTTGTGTCACAAAGCCTAATTTCTTGGTTTAGGTTTAAGAAGCTACGAAGCTACGTTTGATCATAATGTTTTCTGTTATATAAAAGTGTTATAATAATCCTGTTACAGCGGATTACTTTAAATTAGAGCTGCTCAAGAAAACATACATATTTAGGATTGGTTTAAAATAATTCTGCAGCTTTCAATATTGATTGAATGAATCTCTACCAAGAGATTACAATAGGTAGCTGCTCCATTAGCAAGGATAGGAAGATCAACGTGTCCTGAAGAACTACTTGAAAACTTATGTTCGTGCATGAATCTGTGGCATGAATCGAAATCACTTACCAATCTGGAAAGAGTTCAACAGCCTCTGCTAAAATATCTCTGAGGAGCGTGGTTGCTGGTGGAACATGAGGCAAGATCACGGGTGCGAATACGCCGCAAACGCCCGCGCTGCGGCCATGTTTGGCTTCGTACTTGCTCAGGTAAATTGCCAGGTAGCCGAGCAATCGGTAGTGCGAGGACGGCAGTGTCGAGAGAAGTTCCTTGGTCGATTTAATCCAGCAATCCCGGTCGTTCTCGATATTCTCTGCAATCATAGGGATCGGAGTTTTATTAAGAACTTCAAGAAATGAAACCCTATAGTGGCACACTGCATCCCAAAGCAGTAGCAAAAGCAAATCAATCTTTTATACTCATTATTGACGATGAACTACAGTTACTCCCTTGCACATTGTAGCCGAGTTAAAATCCATTCATAGATATTAATGACGTGACCTGAAAGTGACCATTGATCCTCAAAGTTACAAAATACATTTTTCAACATCGCAACTAGATAAGAAATATCCAAATGGATACTACTTTTAGGTAGGACATCTATGGCTGGGTATAGTCTAAAACTCTATCTAACTGAAACTAGGGATACTTTATCTAAGTTCACATCTGACAGTAAAACATATATAGAGTATTTTATCCAAAATCTGCTATCTGGTGTATATCAAGGAAACAGTGTGCCTTCGCAGAGAGGAATGAAGAACCAAGGGCAAACAGGCTTACGAGTATGAACGACGATTAGTCTGGCGACAAGTGTGGATGGCACAACGGGTTGAGGTAGCTCCTTGAGGTATTGTCGAAGAAGCGTGGCCGCGGTCGGAGGACAGGCAGCGGTCTCCAAGTCCGCGTCTCCTCTCCTCTCGAACGCAGCCCTCAGCCTTTCGGCCAGCCTTGGACTGCCGCCGGACAGACGGAAAACGGCAGCGCTTTGGAATCCATGCGCCTCGATGTAGCTGCACAGCCGGTGCACCACGAACGGCACACCTGTGTCCAGGTACGACTCCACCGAGTCTAGCCGAGCGCCGAACACCTTCGTCGATCCACCGTTGCGACCTAGCAGCGAGACTGCCAGTACCCGTTTCACTTTCGCCAAACGGGACTCGTCCTTAAAAATTACAATCCATTTGTACACATAGACACTGCAAGATTGGACGAACAACAAAGTATCCTCCTCTTTCTTCGGGGTTTTAGGCAAACTGGCGTGTGGAATTTTAATGTTATCAAAATGTAAAACTGCTCTATTCTGGGAATAAATTCTCTAGAAAGTCGTATGTAAACAATCCTGATTTATGTACTTCTGATTACAATCAATCGCCATCCTGCCTTACAAAGTAACATTCTGTAAGACTTTCACAGACGTGGTTAAAATTGAAAAAAATTCGTCTGGGTCCAGACAGAAAATTCGAGAATTGCTTATAGGAAACGGGAATTGATTGTTGCCCGTTGTATCGGTATAAATTCCACCTTAACGCAGCAAAGCTCTGGAGGTGGATCGCTACCTTGTCGATCGTCTGCCTCGGCCCGGTGGGGCTCGTCGAAGATCCATGATGATGGTGATGATGATTGTGATTGTTGTGGTGGTGGTGATTGTGGTTGTTGTGCTGATGGTGATGATGTTCTTGCTGAGGTCGTCTCATCCCACTTGGCCTACACCGCGACCCACCGCCGCACTGCTCAAAAATCGACGAAACGTTAACAAACAGCCAGGCGAGCATCTCATCAACAATGTCTACTTTAAACGTCGTTCCTTTAGATGCTACGCGCTGCAGCTCCTCGATAGTTTGATCTACATCGAACAATGGGCACGCAGCGGTTCAGTGTTTTCCAAAGAGAGCGATCGATAAACTTTCCAGCGGATGCGTCTCATAATATTCTTGGTATATTAAGCACCTGCGGAGCCCATTGTCCGTCGCAGAGTGTTTACCGGAATCGGTCAAAGAGCGACAACCAGAAAGAGAAAACGAGAGTGTTAGATCGAAAAATAAAGAGAGAAAGAGGGAGAAAGGGACTCACAATGCACTCCCTCGCCACCCTCCACAGGTTGAAGTAAACGGAGTTCAGCCTGGAATCTAGCTGGCGCTACACCTTTCTTCCACGTTTCTTGGCTCGTGTTGGTCGTGGTCGTTGTTCTGGACCGGATATATGCTTTGGTTGTGGTCTGACGTGTGTTCTCCTGGACGGCCGTAGCCGTTTCTCCCCTTCATGCGTCACCGATTTACACTTTCATCGAACAAACTCACGGGAGAGCGTGAGATTTCGGCGGCCGGGTTATCCCGGACTTGTTTCTTCGTTCTAGCTCTATCTAGAGAGAGGTCACGGACCACCGAACCTGAGACACTAGGATAGGAGAAAGAAGATAAACAGGTAGAAAGAGAGTGTGTATGTGTGTAACTGGGGATGAGAATAGAGAATCGCTCGAAAACGGAGGACAAGGAACGACGTGTGGGGCAAAACGTGGGATCAACGGGATAATCTGGAGGAGGGGACACGGTGGAACACGAAATCCTCCTTGATGGAGAAAAACCTTGCCGGCGAAGACACAGTCCTTCGTCGACCTGGCACGCGTCACTCTCGGTACTCTCCTCCCGATCAAACTGTCTGAAGTCTCAAGCCGAGCACGGGAACCGATACGACGTTAAAAAGAGAACCTTCGACTCGATTGGTTTTGGGTTCATGTCCCTATCACGGCACATCGCATCGAGCCCTTTCTCGAAGGCAAAGGGCACTGCCTATGGCTGCTTCAGGAAGTGAGTCGACACCAGCCGTAGCGTAAGCATCGAGCCACAGAGCCGGGGATGAGTTTTAGGTCACCACTCCGCTCCCTGGCCTGACATGGTCCACGAATCTCTTCGCACCTCTACCTTCTCACCTGAAAAACAAAGAACACGATAAGGATCTTCAGCCGATAAAATCCTAGCCGCGCGAAGTGTCGACCTCAACCCTTTCGCAACCTGGATTAGCGTAGACAAAGTTGCAAAGGGTAAGCCTCGTTGTTCGGATCTATGGTAGATTCGACAATGGAAAAAATTGTCCAATGCTTTCAGAGACGTTTCAGTTTGCAACATTTTCGTGCGGAACTGTGTCTACGGTTTCCCATCTAGTATATTACCCAAGAATATTTTATAAAAATGACGATCAATGGATAGAAAAAGTTCAAGTTTTACACGATTCTCTTTTACGAAATTGCAACAGGTTAAACGTCAACAATTTTTGAAAATTGTGAAGTTGGTGTCTTAACTCCCAGAATTAAAAATAATTGTATGAATTTACGACCCAGCCCTGTAGACCAATTCAGACCAAAAAAGAATAAACAATGGGAGCAATGTTCATGTTTATTTTCTTCCGTTTATTTTATCAGAAAGTGCAAACGGTCTCGTTTCGCTTGGCAACAACAGAACTTTCAATTAAAAACCGCGGCCTCTTTAATGAATAAAAACAAACACCTGGGGCGACGCTTGACCCCACACGGCGAACTTAACGAAAATGGTTCTTGAAGATCTCGGACGGTTCTACATCATCCTACTTTGTAAAGCTTGCTACCACAAATTCATAACGCCGCACTTTCTCCTGGAAACGCGTTTCGCACAAGACGAATTGAATATTATCTGTGTTAAGAAATACCTCATGGGACTTTCGAAATGATTCCCCTAAATCAGACCTACTTCAAAAATACGAGACAAACTTGTAACTATTATCAGCATAGAAATATTAATAATGCTTTTGCTGTGGGAAACTGATAAGAACCCATAGAACTAAAATTGATAAACGGGAAGGATCGATTAAAAATCTTCCAGTCCTACTGAGACGAAAACAAGGATTATTTGGATCGAAATCGATCCGATCTAACGGATGGAGCACGCAGATACATGGAAAACACAGTTTGGCGTTGAGAACGAAAGTTCTGGAGCGCGGAACCTGGACAATATCGATTAGGAAAATTTCGATTCTCTGGTGAACACAGAAGCCCGTCGGAAATCTCGCCAAAAGAGAAAAAAGGGAGAGAGAGAGAGGAGAGGAAAGAATCGTGGCAGAGCATGAATCTCGCGGCGTTGTTTACTTTCGGGCCAAACCAAAGTGGAACGGATCTAGCTAACTGTGGTCGTGCATCGTGCAACCAATGGGTCGCGACAACCCCCAAAATAAAACCTCCCCGAGACCAACGCGAATATTCGAAGGCTGAGATTTTTCTTCTTATCTGCAAAAATGCGAAATGTTTTTGAGCAGGCCACTCCATTTACAAAGCACCCGACGACCAACTCTCGGAGTGCTCTTGGAATACTCTTAGCAATATAGATTTCCTCAGAATTGAGAAAAATTGCATTCGATGAACTCTGTACTCTGCAAGACTCAACGAATATTTTAAGCACTATAGGCTTCCAAAAACTAACTCTTGGACTACTCTTAGCAATGTAGGCTTTCTCAGAGCAGGGCAAAACGTTTCCACGCATTTTCGGAGCTCTGAAAAACTAACGCGAAGGTTCCGCGAGATCAGCCGATTTTTAGCAGCCGTCCTCAGCAATGTAGGCTGCCCCTAATCGGGGCAAAGAACTTGCCCCAATAGGTCACGTTCCCTCCAAGATTCCCGGGGATCAACGTGAGTAATTGAATCGGTGGATTTTTAGCGAACATTCTGAGCAATAATAGAGTACTCCCATTAATTAGTGCGAAAATTTCCTGATTTCAACGAGTTTTCTCCGATACTCTAATAAGCGTAAGCTTTCTCAAGGGAAAGGATTTCTTTTAATATAGGCCACGCGTATCGTTAGTTTCCATTAGACTTTTCTTAAAAGTCCAGATGGATTTCCAGCAGACATTAGCCTCTGAAAGATCAATGAAAAAGATCCCGCAACATCGTGTAAGTTTCATCGAACACCATCAGCAATATAGGCTCTCCCACTGTGATCATGAAAAACCTTCCTCAATCTAGGCCACGCACTTTACAAGAGTTCCAGCAACTTTACGAAAACCCAAGGCTATATATATATATAATCCCCAAGAACTAGCCTGAGAAATCTAGACTCTCGGAGACGCTCAAAAAGAATTACGCGACATCACCCAAGTTTCATCAGACAGTATCGGCAATATAAGCTTTCCCAGCGCGAACGTGACAAATCTTTCTCAATATGGGCCACGCACTTAACAAGATTGTCACGAACCAAATCGAGTGTTCGACGTTCAGCAGTTATTCTCAGGAACAAATCCTGCAGGATTAGCAAATCTTTAGCAGACGATCAAAAGGAGCGATTAGCGGTGTTTCTCGCGTCGGTGTCAACAAACACAGGGTGTCACTCGGATTCGCGTTGGCCAGTGTAGAGCCGACTATGTTGAGCAGGTCTGCGGAGATTCCGCGACGGAATGTTCCCATAACTGGCGCGAAACGTCGATGAGGGGGTGTAACAACACAGACGCGAGAGTTAGGAGCTCGGAAGAACGTAAACAACGAGGGGTGGTTCGTCACGACGCCACTCGAAACTTTTCCGGGACGATCGAACTGGCGAAAACTGAAGAAAGGAAGGACGGTCGCGGAGGGATGGAAGACGGGAGACTTTTGTGTACCTCGAAAGAACGAACGAGATCATAAAGATCAGGCCACGGTCCGTGCACTGGCGACCATACTCAGCGACACTGAGCTACCGCGGTACTTAGCAGCGCCTCTGCTTCCTTCTAGCCACCCCCTGGTCCACCCCCGTTTTCCCACTCGGGGTTTCCTTCTCGATCCGCTCTGCTCCGCGCCGCGTCTCGTTGGCGAACGGGAAACGACACAGAGCGTGCCCGCGGTACCTATAATACCCTCTTGGCAGCAGATATCGCGAGGACGAGGGCGCATGCACTGCCTCCGACAATCAATAGACCGTTCTGGTCACGTGAAGCATTCGCGCGGAAACAGAGGGAGCGATAGCGGGGAAGAGACGGTGGGAGACAGAGAGAAACGAAGGGGAGGAGAGAGTAGAGGGAGGAAAGTTGCTGGCTCACAGAGACGGAAGACGGAAAGAGGGAGTGAAACTGATAGAGAAGGAATAGGGGATGAAGGAAGACGAGCTACTAGGAGTCAAAAGCTGGTGCCAGGCAGTTGAAGAGGAAAAGCGAAAGAAAATAGGGGGGGGATGCTACCCTAGACTCCGGAAATTTAGGAGATGATCACGGTCTAGACCTCACACCTGGACAGACGAGAGACTGATTGCCGTTGGATCGCTGCAGACCCGGGCTAGTCGATTCCTCCTGTATGGTTGATTTGATTTTTTGTACTTTAATCTTTTCGGACCTGACGCGGCCTAATGCCGATTTAACCCTTATTTTCACGAAAAATGACTGATATAATATATAAAAAGTGATGAAAAACGTGTTAAAATCTAATTCTAGATAAACGATTTATTGATATCTGTTTTTTAGCTAGTGTATGAAAGAGTAAAAATATGGAAAATTGAACTTTTACTACAAAATGAAATAGAGATACAATGTTGGGGTCACGAGTGACCCTTGTATATCAGTTAAAAGTTACGATGGCTGCGGGAAAATGAGGACCGCAGCTCGGTTTGGGAGCTCTTGTAAGATGTATTTAATCGAAGAAATTATGGTTACGAAAGTTTGTCACCGATTTGAAGAAAAAGTTCAATTATTCCCAAAGATTGTGGAATCTGTTTTAGGAAACTCGAGATACTAAACAAAGTTCTTTATCGTACCATTTGTATGTTTTCAAAATGTTCTATCGTGTTCGTCTAATATATATGTATAAGTTGTTCCAGTTAATTTAAAAATCTAATCGCTAATTTAAGAATTCTAGAGTCTTTGCTTAAAGATTAAAGTTGAAAATTAAAACAAAAAATGTACCTCAACCACTGCTACTGGAAATGATAGCAGATGGCCTATTTCAGACGCTACATTTTTATTTTACAAATTACTCTGTAAGTGAAACTTTTCCTTTTAAGAACCTCTCTTTACAAGTTCGCATCGGAACTTGTAACCCGAGAATATTCTTCAACCAGTTAAGCGTCGAATTTAGTTTTAAAAACCCCTCACAATGTGCGGAATTAAAATCAAGCGATGACGTGCATACACGACGAACGTAGGGCAAAATGGTCCTATTACAAATTTTATGAAAAACGAAGAACTACATTTTTATTTAAGAAAAACTTAACAATTTATTTCTGAAAGGTTATTGTTATTATAAACTTAAAAATTCTCAAATAATAATAAAATACATAAACAAGAAAGACACAACGACGAGTAAACGCGTCGAACACACCGTAATAGAGATTTGGTTTGACGTGTATACACGACAAACGCGCTTAACTGGTTAAAAAAGTTTCACCGTTTGAAACAGAAACTACAAAAAAGTTCTACCGTTGTTTCGATTCGCGATTTGAATAAACCCAGCCCTGGACAAGATTTTAGTCTTAGGTTCTAGGAGAAGGAAGTTCCACAATTTTGAGAAATTAGAGAATGGAATGTGTTTGCAGTTTGAACGCAAGAAGAACAGTTTATTCAAATGTTAGGCAACTGATGGGCTCAGGAAGCCTCCCCTTAATCTTTTTATAGTCAACGTGTTCATTCTGTCTGGTCCGAAGCTATAATGTTGCGCCCGTAAAGGGATTGCAGGCTCGTAATCCTTTTATCGTAGCTTGCACGCGAATAACATGTAAGGATGAGGAAAACACGCTGCGAATGCTATCACCTTAAATTATCGATCGTAATTGTTACCGCGTCAAGTCTCGAGTTTGATCGACAGTGCTTCGTTTTCGAGAGCAGACTATAATCCACAAGGATCTGTAAACTTAATTATTTTCCATGACTTTCGGTTTTAAATCCTTCAACATCAAGAAGGGATCCCGAATCACCCTCGACACCCCAATGCGTCAATGAGCGCCATGAATGAAATTGTCACTTCGACAATGATGACAAGCTAAACGTTCGTAATTAGGTTTGTTATGTATCTATGGCACTTGCAAATTTGTGTAAGCGTGTATTAAAGTTTGCTGATTAAATTACTATATTTTTTCATCTTGATCACAAGAAAACTGCCGAGAAAAATGAGAGTTTGTTACACAGAGTCTGCTCGTGATATCAATCTAGTTGCAACTACTGCAAATTTATCAAGTTTGAATGTCTGTAACGTAACGTCAAATCATAAAACAGAAAAGGATTGAAAACACTCGAAAGTAATTTGGACAAAAAATGTTTCATGGATGTTATTCTCAATTAAGAAATGTAAAAAATGTATACAGAAAATATGGTATAAGACACAATAGACTCGACCTATCGGGTACTAATCGATTTTGTCTCTGATCGTAGGCTAATAGAGAATCAAAATTCTTGTCCGTCTCACTATGGCCGCTGCAATTATAATTTATTCTAACGATCTACAACGACTTGTGTTTGGCGCCTCGATCTCGACCATCGAAACATGAACATAAACGTTTCCGATTTCGTGACGCCATTTGACGCCAGGTTACACGATCGTTTGAACGGTACGCGTAACACTATGCCACGTCAACGAGAATAGAACATAGCAGAGCAGTGACCCCTTGCCGCAATGTACATGCACGCACAACCTCGGACATGTGCGCTGCACAATTGTTAAACCGTTTCAAATCGACGAAACAATAACAAAGTTCACCGTGCCGATGGTTTTCAGGGTTCATGATCGATTTCTCGAAAAAAAGACATTGGGAACATGCTCACAGTCCACTCTTTTGCCATGTTGCAGGGCTGAAATGATTGCAGTGGGCTGGACAGCTATTGTGACCGCGAGCCTATTTCAGGTACCAACTTTTCAAGAACAAACAATAATTCTATCACGAATTCGTATTATTAGTTTACTAATGATAACTTAACAGTCTTTTATAAAATCAACCATTCACGATTGAGGGTTTCTTAAGCAATTTTCCGACTGCGACGGTAACTTCGTTCGTAAACCAATGAATCATCGAATGTAATACGGTCTAATCAGTTCTTTCGGGCTTATTGTTTAGAGGAAAGTTGTTAAGCTTCTTTGAGAGATAGTACAGTAATATTAAAAAACTATTAATAGATTTCTGGCGAATAAAGTATTAATCTTCAGAAACAGGACGGTTTTTATGTTTTTTAAAATAACTTGTTTGGTATACATTGACCTCCTTATTGCGTCTTGTTGAACGATTCTCAATTAAATTTTGTCGACATGAAATCGAAAAGGGAAAAATCTGTTGGTGTATCGATAATAAAATCAGACAAGTCTGATGTAAATTTCGATACATTGTTTAACTGTAATATAAATTATAAAAAATGTTCGGCATATCTGAAAAAGTGTGTCATTCTTGATCGTATAGTGACATCACACCAGAACAGCTCTTCGAAAAAAGTATCTAAAATATGTTATAAACTATTATATTCTCTAGGTATTGATGACATCAGTTCCTGATTTTCGAAAAACCAAACAGAATTGCAAATATTTCTTATTGTTTATATCCTGTGTTTACAAAGATTCGGACCTTCTGTATTTTATTTTCACGAGTACCAGCGTATAAACAAACACAGTAAGTTTTTTCATTTATTGATGTTTCGCAGAATCCTAACCCCTGAGGTAGTTAACAATTCGCTTATTTGAAACAGAAAGATTTAGCAGTGTCGACAATGCGCATGCAGGGTGAAGAAATGAAAAGAGAAGGTGACAAACAAAAATGTACATAGCATTCGAATGAAATATGTACTTTCTACGTGCTGTCATGTTCGATGTATCACATACCTTGGAATAATGTTGGCGATAGGATATATCCTCGTCATACGATTTCTTCTTTCCTCTCAAAAGTCGTGATAGACTTGAAAACGACGAACTTCGGCCGAAATGAACTCCATCACTAAAAATTAACGTACCTCCAGAAATTACTTTAACGAGCGAAAAACATGGAAAACAAACGGTTGTATTGATCATTGAAATTTACGTTTACGATGCTGAATTATACACGCGAGTATGCCAGCAAATTTTACGAAAAATTCAACGATCGAATGGGTATTTTGAAGTACGCATCACAAGATCAAATACGAGATTTTTCGCTTTTTGAAACATTACTTGAGAAACTCGGTTATTCTTAAGTACGAGGTACCGGCACTGTGGAGCTGAATGCGCCATATTAATTTAAACCCTCCTTACCATCTTGTACTCGCTCAAAATATGTTCGAGAATAAGGGAAGCTACATGCAATGCGACTTTATTCTCATTGGCTAATAATTTGTAACCGATTCTTTTCGACAATTATTTTCCTGATGCAAACCCGGTAATGTATTGTGAAACTTTAAAATTCGATTTGAATTGTCTGTTACATATGTATCATGCTATGAAGTTTCGGTAATACCAACACAGAAGGGAACACGCTTTTTCTCTATATATTCCGAAGGTTTAAGCAATGCTGAATGTGCAACAGAATGGTGGGAATAGAAATGCGCAATTATGGAGACAACTTTGACCAGATGGTATGAAGCATTTACTCTAGTACCTTAGTTGGAACTGGTGCATGCTTTACATGCTAATACATACCAGATAACATGCTTAATCGTCAGTTAATGAGTTGGTTGATGGATTACGTAATTAATGCTATTATTATAAGAAAACAAATTATTTAAAGCGAAGCAGAAGATAGAAACTTCAGAATGTCTACTTTCAAAAAAAGATAACAAATCCTGTACCTTATTTTATTACAGCGGCTTTTTTTATTAAACAATGCGAATTACTTCAAATTAGAACCAAGGTATTTGTCACATGAAACAGTCTTCAGATATGTGTTAACAGCAGTAGAACAGTTAGTAATAATTTTTTATGTTATTTGATACAATATTTATACATACATACAAACATACCAAATTTCGATATGATTCGTCGTACAAAACCTCGTTATAGACATTTTTATTTTTGATGATATAATCTATAAAAGCTTTACACGTTTAAATGTGTATAAATAGAAGCTATTTATAGTTATATTTCAAATAGCAAAACATACATATAATACTAAGTCCTACTCTCACCATTCCACTGCTGATCCCATTCCACTACTGTAATATTGTATATCAAGTTTACATTTGAAGGAACATAATAATACACACACAGATAGGAAGACTGTAATTTTCGAAATAGCTGGAACCGTTATTGCTTATATCATTATTTATTGTAACGTGTGTAACAGCTAATATAATAACTACATACCTATATAAGCACAAAAAATATAATCACATTTTATTACCATTGTCAAAAATTAAAGAAAATTCGTTTACATGATATTTATATATGTAGAA